GACTGAATGGGGAATCCGAGGTAAAGACGGCAAAGACAGAGACAAAGCTTCTCCAGTCATGTTAAAGTTCCAACCTAAGATGTAATGTGAACTAGCTAGCAAACCAGTCGAAGCAGAGAATCCAACATACATCTCATCTCCCAAAACAGAGGAAAGATCTACATCGTAAGAGAGAAGAGAGAACTTTGGTTTCTCTGAGAATGGAGAAAGCTTAACATCTAACCTTTTCTTGTTTGAGTCATAGTCAATCCAAGCTTGAATCACTCTACCACCATCGAGGAAAAGCTCTTTTTTGGTTGAATTAGCAAGAAAGTAGCCAGCCGGAGTCGAAGAACTCGATTCCAAACTGTTTATATCGATTCCAACATGGTTATCATTGATGTCCTCAAAGTCCAAATCCTTGACAGTATCGAATTCAACAGCGAAGAAATGGCTCGAGAAGTTGACTCGGCTCGTATTCAAAAGGCCTAAGTATTGGCTAGGAAGAGATCCTTGTAGATTTGGAGTTGGAGTGATGGCGAAGGCAAGTCCGTGGCCTCCAAGGGTAACAAACTCTGGAACCATAGCGATTACAAAAGAAGTGGAGAAAGACAGAGCTCGGTTTACACCGGGTTGCTTGAACCGGATTGGTAAGGAGTAGAAGGCGTGACCGATCACGCGCTGTGTGTCTGTAGTGAGCCTAATGGCTCCAGTGTCGGCGATCTCTGCGACTCCGGTTATGGTTAGACTTGGAGAAGCTGCTTTGAAGCCAACGAAAGAGAAGTCTTGAGTTTGAGATGAAACCAAGTGTGTGAAGAAGATGAGAAGTAGCCAGATAAAGAAAAAGATTTGATCCATCAACAATGTCTATAACTTTAAGGTTTTTGGATTTTGTATATTGTTTTCTTGGGAGAGAAGTAAATATAATAATGGTCAATGAGCTATTAGGGTTACTAGTTCTAATATATGATCTAGTAGGAGGAGAAGTAAGAAGAAGGTGAAGATTATGAAAGCATGTGATATTGAGAAATGATGTTGGTGATAGAGGAACATGTGATTATTTCAAGATAAATCAAACTTTTTGATATTCAATATTTAAACCACGAATTCAAATCTTAACATTAAAAATAATAAGATTATACGAGGTTAGTACTGTTTGTATTACGATGTTGTTAAGTATAAATCGAGATCGTCGGTATTGAATTAGTTTAATCGATGAGCAAGTGTATTAGTTTAAACGATGAGCAAGTATATAGATTGTAAATGGTCATCGATGTAATAAGTGATATGTTGAGCACTAAATTATTCATTAATTCTGACTAAATATATAATCCAACGCATTGTGGTCATGTGGTTCGTTCGAATCCTTCCACTGGCCAAATCTGAAAGTAAATCAACTCTAATCTCAATTACCATAAGATATTCTTAGCAATAAAATAGAACTAAACTATACGCACAATTTTTTTTTTGGGTAACGCCAAAGTATACTGTGTGGACGCTAACGTGGTTTCAGCACCAGTGACGATGTCTCGGGCAAATGCACCATTCGATTAAATCCATAAATTAAATATGCTAAAGTAGTATGACACGAGTTTCCATATATAACGAATTGTGTAAACTTTCCACTTGACATTTTTGAACTATTGAAATGTATGCGGATTATGAAATATAACGATAAAATACTGGTTGACCAAAAAAAAAAAACCCCCCGATAAAATACTAAAATATTATTGGATGGTAAAAAGTCAATTTATCAGTTAAAAAGATGTTG